TTTCAATACTATAGAGCCATAGAATAAAAATAAAAAAAATTTCATCGAATTTGATCATGTGGTTGCTAAGATACCTTCGCTCAAAATTGCAGAAAAATTTGGCGCAACTTGTATTTTGATAGACGGTTTGATTTGTTTTTAAACTTTGAGCGAAGATATCTTAGCAACCACCTAATCAAATTCGATGAAATTTTTTTTATTTGAATTCTATATATCGTAGAATTCAAATAAAAAAATTTTCATCGAATTTGATCATGTGGTTGCTAAGATATCTTCGCTCAAGGTTGTAGAAAATTTGATAGATAGTTTGATTTTTTTTTAAACTTTGAGCGAAGGTATCTTAGCAACCACACGATCAAATTCGATGAAATTTTTTATTTGAATTCTATGGATCTATAGAATTCAAATAAAAAAATTTTCATCGAATTTAATTAAGTGGTTGCTAAGATATCTTCACTCAAAGTTTAAAAAAAATCAAACCTTCTATCAAAATACAAGCAGCATCAAATTTTTCTAAAACTTTGAGCAAATATATCTTAGCAACCGCCTAATCAAATTCGATGAAATTTTTTTTATTTGAATTCTATGGATCCATAAAATTTAAATAAAAAAATTTTCATTGAATTTAATTAGGTGGTTGCTAAGATATTTTCGCTCAAGGTTTAAAAAAAAATCAAACTGTCTATCAAAATACAAGTAGTATCAAATTTTTCTAAAACTTTAAGCGAAGATATTTTAGCAACCACCTAATCAAATTCGATGAATTTTTTTTTATTGGAATTCTATGGATCCATAGAATTCAAATAAAAAAAATGTCATTGAATTTGATTAGGTGGTTGCTAAGATATCTTCGCTCAAAATTAAGATTATCATATTGAATTTAATATATTCAAAAGCAGGTTTTACATATTCAAAAGCAGGTTTTACATTTTAAAAGCAGGGTTTACATATTTTGCATATTCAAAAGTGGTTTTATATATTCAAAAGCGGATTTTACATATTTTATATTTCAAAAGCGGGTTTTACAAAATTTAAATAATCAATGCGGATTTCACCTGTTTTAGCCAATCAATCCGGATTTTACTAGCTAGCTGCGCAGGTTTCACCCTGTCGTAAAATAATAAGGTAAAAGAATTTTTGAGAAGTAATCTTGTAATTTTTTATTTTTAGGGGAGAAGTTCAGTCTTTAGCAACAAATGAAGCTTGTAATGAATCAAATAATCCTTTTCAAAGAGCTAAAGTTAGTCACAAAGCAGATATGAAAGGAATCTTAAAAAATACTTCATGTAAATTAGAGGCATTATATGGAGAAATATCTGGAGGTTTTAGGGGCTTTTGGTTTATCAATAACAAGTAGAAAGAAAAAATATCTTGATAAAGTCAAATTGTCTATAATGATGCGTGATTCAATGGAAGCTAATTATTTGAGATTTAAACTATTTATTAACGTTAATAAACAGTTTAAAGAATATTTCAAATTTGTTAATTATGAATTTGTTAATGTTTATAAAGACAGCACATAATTCTGATTTAAAAATAAATTAATCTATTGCATAAAACATCAAGTAGAATATTAAGTAGATTAATTTCTATCACTATGAGACTTTACAAAATATGAGTTGCATAATATGAAATTCGGAGAGTAGGGCAATTTTGGGAGTTCTGGAACAATTTTTTGGTACCCTGGGTATCAAAGTAGTCATCTTACCCTTTTCACATCTTTGTAAACCTATATTTTATATCAACTCTTAGTACCTATATAATAACCTAGGTACCAAAAATTATATAGCTAGAACTCACTATTTTTTATATTTTATAATCAAATCGGATGATGACAAAAAATTAATTCTATCGTCACACATGATATCATATACTATTCATCCATATATAAATCAAAGTACCAAAAATTAAGTATCTATTTTTTTTTTTATAATACTTTTGATAATATCTACCAATATAATAGCTTCTAATATGATCTGGACATCATCTACTTTCAGAATGAGTAGGTTTACTACAATCAGTACAAGGAAAGCATTTGATTGCATTTTTATGAAGCCAGCACTCTTTAGGATTCATACATATTCGACCACATATCTCTCCAGTATATAAAAGAAAATTACATATATATTTACCTAATTGTATTTTTTTATATATGCCTACTACATATTAATTTTCAAATTGAATAAAAATATTTTATAAGTAACAGATAAGGAATTTCG